CTTGCATTTTCCAATGAAAATGATGAGAATGAACTGTAATTGAACTGATAGATTAAGTTGCCGAAATATGAACGGACTAGGTCTTCTTTCAACTTTAGAAAAGAAAATATTAAATGAAAGAACAAGAGGTGAGGATTATTATCAATAAATCGAAAGTAGCTAATCATTTTGATATTCCAAATATACACAGCAATTGTTCAAAATCATGAAAAGCTATGGCACCACATCACATCCTCTCTCTTTTGTCCTTTTCCACCTTTGCAGATCTATTTCCAGACAAACGAATATTAAAAAACTGCAAAAATTTATTCTGTAAATTTGCTTTATTTTATGAACGACCTTGTTTTTAATTCAAATTATTTGCACTGATTAAACTTCCGTTCACGTTTTCAGTCTGAGGTTTTGGTATATCGATTGTGCATGATATACATGCCAGTAAGCTACTTCTCAGAACATGTGAGCTGTGGCTGCTTTTTTTTCCTTTATTCTTCGGATCATGATTTAATTCTATATATATATTATAAATCTGATTCAACAATACACATTTGTTGGTAACCGAGACAACCATCGATATACTCTGCGTCTCATATATATTATATAATCATAATAATAAATCTCACCCTGCCAGCCATTCAACTATGATAGTGTCATCACAGATGTGGATTTCAAACATTATCATATGGCGTTCCTAACAGACTGTACAGGATTAAGAATTCACTTTAATATTATGAATAATTTTGTAACGACTTGTTGTCATGATTGTTGACAAATATGCTTGCACAGGTGTCATATTTTTCAGAGCAGTTTCTTTCATGGAGTGCCCGAGTAAATGAAAATGAGAGTCATAAAACATCGAATAAAATCCAATTAAAAGAAAAATGAGCTCTAGCCAAAGCTTTTAGTTTCAGTATGACACATCAACAATCTTCAATACAGAAAGTGTTTGTAAGGCACGAAAGCAGAACAGAAAAACAAATAAGCACCACCGAGTGTATGCATAAGCAGTAAATACATGCACATGTTTGCATGATTAAAATACTATTCAATAATGTTTAATGTTATATTGATCGTTAACCTCGTCATACAATTCCCTGGAGAAATGCTAGTACTGACCTCGAAAAAACGGGACCTCTACATCAAAGTTAACAGGGTCATCACTCACTATAATCATTTCTTGTGGTTTGACTAATTCTAATCCTTTCAATATTTTACAATGACTATCGTTCATTCCTTTTCATGATGCATGACTATCTGTGGTTTAACAACTATCGTTCATTCCATGATACATGACAACTGAAATTTACGAATCAATCTACCGAAAGAATTAGATCAACTTTCCTTTCTAATGCACCACTGGTCATTCCGCACAAAATTATCTAAAATAATCATAACCGACAAAATATCTATTAACTCTAAAAATTGCCATGCCTGATTAAAAATATGACTTTAACTATCACTCGTCTTAATGCTTCTTTACTATGTATTTTAATATTTTGAACGCTATACTCTTTTATTACACTATTATCCAATAAAAAAAAACTCTGAATAATGTTCTAGCAGTTATAATTTTCTTCCACATAAAAGTTTCGGAGATAAGAAATAAGAAGATAAGAGTAAATATAAAAATGATGAAAGAAGTATACTTTGAGAATAATTTAAAAAGGAATGAATTATAAGCTCAAACTCCTTCAATAGAAAGCAATCTTAATTAGTGAGAAAAGTTTGTGCTAAAAATATAGAGGAAGAACTAATCGAAATGTAAGGGGAACGAGAATAGAAACTGGATGCATAGAAACAAAATTTCTATTACCCTTCCCTCATCGTTTCATTGAGGCAATTTGATGAGAATTCATTTACACGATGAAATAGATGTAGTGCCACACAAAGCTTCCTCTCCAACACTCAACTGATTTAATGTAAATTCTTATGCTCTAATGATTCCTCATAGAGTAATCTTAGTTCCAAAATGGGAAAGAATTTACCACTGAAATTTAGAGGGTATGATGAGAAGCAATAAAAAAAATGTAGTAACGAAGCGATATATATTAGCAATTAAAGTTCTACTCTTACTAAATTATACAAAGAACTGACCTTCCTCTTCATATGTTAATTTAATAAATAAAACCATTTTTTTTTTAACTTCCGTTAGATCACTCTCTGGATGACCATCAAGTTAATCAAGACTAAGGTTTAGTATGACAGCAAAATTTTATTTACAAGCGGTATGTAATCGACTAACGATATATCAGTTGGACCATTAATTTACTAAAGTCGTAAAAAAATAATGAAAACAGTAGGAATTTGGAAAATAAGCTGCAACGTTAGCAACATATTCATTAAGGAGATATAAAAGAATCAAGCTTGAAGCAAGAAAAAATTGAATCAAATAGATGGCCAAATTGGTTCAAAAAGGGATACAACACAAAAATTATCCAAACAAATTCGAGAAGTGAAAAGGAACAAAAATATACAAAAAAAAAATCCGAAGTTGACTGAAGAAACGAGAATGAAACAATAGAAGTGGAAATCAATAAAATGATAAACTTCAGTACATTCCACTGCGATTTCCCCTCTAAAATAACAAATCATTTTCCTAAAACTTAACAGAAATTTCTGCAAATAAACAAGAGGTAAATTAACGCATCTACTGTGCTTTGTTGTGCTCAGGTTAAGTGACAATGCATCTTCTAAAATTAACAGTACACTGAACACGGTAAAACCAACAAAGTTATACGTTTAATTATTTTTTAAAAGGATGAACCAACATCTGGAACGTGATCTGTTGCTGCTTTATTTACAAAATTACTTTATACATATCTCAGAATTAGTTCATGCCTTCTAATACAGTAAGATTATAAGCTAATTCAAATATTTGTTTTTTGATATGAATTAAAAATGTACTCCGGTTTTATCTTTATTATCATTCCGATTAAAGAAAACGGAAATCAGTGTCTTTGAGAATGCATATACAGTAGCATAAATGTACAGACATGCCAATTAGATAGAGTTTTGGCACAGCTAAAGAAAGCACCTTTCCATTTCAGTGGAAGAATGAGAATGTGAGTTTGTAATCTAAAATTTAAGTAAAACATTTGAACACCAAAATAAAACATAACTAGACCAAAAAATGACGTCACAAAACTAAAAGGAACTTTTATTTACTTCATAAGTAATGCACCACAAAAAATGTATAATTTCTGGTTTTTCTGAGCAACTTGAAGGGTGAAGCAATGAAAGCCAATTATGCAGTCCTGCTTCTCAGTGAACAAGAACTGGAAAAAACATTCCCACTCCTTGACATTTCCACCTAGGATTCATGATTCACATAAGATTTGAACTTTTAAAAAGTGACACAGCAAAATTATTTTTCTTTTGAATTTAAGTTAAAGAATGATGAAATATTACGGGAAATTTTCACTTAGAGAAAGAAAGCTCCAAAATTAATTTGTCTGAAACCTAATCCGATATTAGGAAAGAAAAAAACTTTGTAAAGTTAAGACAGCTAGAGAATTAAATGAAAAAATATCATCCACGGAAGGACTTTCTTTGTACAAACACGAGTGCCATTTAGAGATCAAGTATTTAGCTAGTTTTTTTTTTTTTTTTTCTTTTTGTTGGCTATTATAATATTTTCATTGGAAACGAGTGAGTATTAAATGATGCGCTCGTAAAGGATACTAAAGAGAGATCGCAGAAAAGGGAGAATTAAAAATTGGAATGAGAATTGAGAAATCCAATATGATATGAAAATATGCACTTTTCTAGAAAATTTAGATATTTCAGCTTGCTTAAAGAAGAAAATTTAAGACATATATTCATAAGGTGCGAGAGAAAAATAGAAACAAAATACCTTTAAAAGAAACGAGAAGTGGAAGAAACAGAGTGAAACGTGTTCGTTTCAATAGAGGATAGGTGTCGGGTGATCAATAAGCAGGCATTTTGGAATGTTTATTTTGATTTGTTTACATCGTTTTATAACCAGCTATCATCCTCTGTGCATGTGCTTGTGGGTTAGTATTCATTAGTAGTCAAAATAAATGAAGGTTATTCCTTCCTTCCATTATCAAAGAACATCGAGAATGGATGTCTTTGTTTTATTGCTTCAAAAAAATTCAAAATCTCAGCAATTTCTAATTAAAAATCCTAATTTCGAAAATAAACTTAACTTTATAGTGATGAAAATAAATCAAATTCAAAGACGATAAAAGAAAATCAGAGTGAAATAAATATTATTTCATAATGAAGAAAGAAAATTATTATAGAATAACTACGAACATTACACAAAAACCAGCTTATAAAATATAATAAAATTTAATTAATCAGTAGGGATTTTTTGACTAGAAAGGAAACTACTGACGTCACTTCCAATTTAGCAACAACTTTTTTCATAACAATCGTCCTTTATTTAATTGTTTTACACAATTAAAATTACTCATTTAACCGTCGTCCATCCTTTTATCCTATTTCAACTTCGTCCCGCTCCCTTTTTCCATCCCTATCCCTTTCCTCCTTTCACTTAATTATTTACATTACCTTAGATTTCTTTCAAAACACTAATTTTCATTTTCTATTTGATTTAAACTAATACTTCTTTCGTCTTTATTTTGATGACTACTAGATTTTTGTCTTTTCCACTTAACTTTACAAACGATTCAATCCTGTCCTGTTTGATTTGTGTTTTTTTGGTATCTGCTTACTCCAAATTTTGAATTTTTAATTGACAATTTTTCAAGTGATTCATGATCTTGGCGCAAGAATAATGCAGAACTTTACTATATTCCAGAAAAACTAATAAAGCTAGTTCGAAAGTACACACCAGTTTAAATTTTCTAAGAGTGCATTATTACCAATCATTTTAAAGCTGCGTATTTTTCCCAGCAGGTGCTGTCACACTATTAATGTTTTTCTTCAAAATCCAGCAGAATTACTGAAGTGCTTCATGTTATCTTCATTTCTGAGAACCTATATAAAAGCAAGCCTAGCGATTGATACCAATATCTTCACTTCGTCCCATGTTTCAATTTTCTAAACTTTCCAAAAGAAAAATCATTCTAAAGCAAAATAAATAAAAACAATAAAACAATAAAATCCATAAAAATGAATGCGCACCTGTTTTTGCTACAGGATATTTGTTCAAGAAAAGAATAACTGTCTAATTTTTTCACGAGTCGGATGTTATTCAATCGACTGGAATTAGTGCCCAATAATTCATCCGTACGATCTGCAATTTTCCTTTTAGAAGTCACATTTTTTATTTGAAAGCTTTATTGAAGTAAGAAGCAAATAAATGGAAAAATGTCCTAAATTCTAGCACTGTCCGAATGAACAGTAAGATTTTGAAAAGAAAAACTGGAAATATTAACTTCTTGTGTACCACATTATGATTACACGATCTCATCAGTTTAACTCATGATCTACTGCTAATTCATATGGCTAGATAGATTCACATAAGAGAATTCGATTACCATTTTACTGAAACTTTCTTTATCCAGATATAATTTAAAAAATATCATACTTCTCCTATCGTCATCATTACTGTTGTCATTGGTTATATTACTATTATCGGCATTATGGGAAAAGATAATTATCTAAATGCCATACGCAATGAAAATCACTACCGGAAATTCTAGCTCCTAGAGATTAAGTAAACGACGGAGTGAATATAACATCGATTGCCAACAATACTGCTATCAATCATCAAAAACAAGGTAACTATTTCAATAATAACTAACGCCGTGCAATAAGCTGATGTTCAACACTTTTTGCTAATGAAATCGTTTACATAATGAGTTTGGATTTCAAGCTGATTTGAATAGAGTGTTATATGACACTTACATTAACTATCGCATTGTTTCTAGGACTTCTAGAACCACTATATTCTAAAGCCTGAAGCATACTGGTTCTACTTCATCTTTATTATGTTGCTGTTACATTGGACATTTGCTATATTTGATTATTCTTATCAGTGGATTTGATTTAAATATTGTGAATAGCCAGGACATTGAGTAAACGGATATTCAAAATTATTCTGCATTTGGACATTTCAAAGAAAATCCTCAAATTGTTTATTCTGTTTGACCAAGTCTAGCTGCTAGACCACTTCATCAGTATTACTGTAGAAAAAATACGACAAAGAATTTGGCCTATTTGATGCTTGGCTATCACATACACTCGTGAGCTGAAATCAATTAAAAAGGATTCTAGACGATGGAATAAAGTTATGTTTCTCAGGAAGTCACTATTGCACGTCTTCACTCTGATCACCTTTTTTACGCAGAGTAGTATTGACTTTTGTACTGTATTCTCTTTTACTTTCCTCAATAATTGAATGATGATGTGGACTCATCAAGAGCATATATAAAGAAAAGACTCTTTGTAGAAAAAAGAATTATATTAGGCTGAGTCACTATTATCTAGGGTTTCAAAATATAGACCTGAAATACAAACGTTCAGAGAATAAGTAGCTCAGTGGTTCAACTTCTGTAGGCAGCTTGTACCCACACAAATAATAATAGTGTAATGAATGAAATATTGGAGAAATTTGATGTATAAAGAAATTGGTGAATCTGGAAGTGAATGAAACGAATAAACATAATAAAATGACAAAGATCGTGAAATAAGGAATGCAACAAGTGTCACTTCATTGTCACTCTTAAATTTACAAACCGTTTAAAGTAATGCTATGCTATTGGCAAGCGATATTCACATTAAATATGATACTTGTTTTATCAACAGTCGACAATAAATGTCACACGTAACCACTCACGTGAAAAAAAGGAGCGCAAAAAGTAACTCACTTATATTTTAGCCAGAAATTCGAGCAGTATAGTAGTCCTAGTTTCAAAATATTACAAACACAATTCAAATGGCCGAAGTCACCTCCCTTACACCACTGGAAAACCAAGTCAGATGAGTAATATCACACTCAATTTAACCTCTTGAAAAATTGCCCGCCGAGAACTCACGGCCCTGTGATGCAATGCTTTTATCCAACTCCATTTAACTGATGGCTATATCACCACCAGTATTTTTTGTCATAGAGTATTTGGAGAGTTCAGAGTTCAAAAGTTCAAAGACAATTGTAAATTTTCATAGAATCTTCATCACAGAAGTGCAAAATAACAAACAGGTTTCCTCTTCAATTTTTTTTTTTTCCCATTTTGATCGCTAGATGTATCCGGATAGATAGAAAAGCCAGGGCAGAGTTATCGGATATCCATTAGAGGCAAAATAGCATGCAAAGATAATTTTTGAGTTCCCGTGAACAGCTATCGCTAGAAACCGCTTATAATAGAAATTAGAAATGTGAGAAATGCTAGACATAGAATAACACTTTTTAAAAAGGAATTTTTTTGATCTATAATGCAAAGCTTATTGCATAAGTTGTAAGAAAATAAAAATTTTTGAAATATTTTTACAAAACAATTGCTGATTGATTGATTGATTGATTGATATCATCATAATTTAAATATCATACAGTTTTTGCTTTTTCTTCATAGCAATCTTTTCAACTGGTCATAATTAGAAATAGACGAGAATTATTAAAGTAAAATTTGTATTAAGCAAAGTATTAAATTTAATAGTAATTGCAACTAAAACAAATAGTGTCGCTTTTCATTTGAACTATATTCAACATAAATGTCATCCGAATAGTCATAAGATAAAAAGGTAACATTATCTTTATCACTTAACAGAATACAATTAGACTTGTGATAAAATGATAACATACACAAACCTTGACTGATGCTTTTGGCGCAAATAGTTTGATGAGACGATGTGACAGGAATGATACATTGTTGATGAGTTGTTCCTGCTGTTGTTACCTTGGTACTCACTTGTCTCTGAACCTGTTGCTTCTGATTGGTGATTATAAAACCCTCCACCGTGACCAATTTACTGCAAAAATAGAATAATTAAATAACTTTTTTTTTTTTTTACAAAAGTTATTTATTCATTAGAATTATCAAATGCTGAAATACAGTAAGAATGAATGAATACAAAATGATATTTGTAGATGAGAGCTTAGGATGATAATACAAGTAAATTGCAAAAGATTAAAAATTCTTCAAATCATTTTATTCGATCTAATTAGCATTTTCACTTAAAATCATTAGTCACTTTATCACTATCTTCTAAGTATTTCCATTATCATCTTGTTCAAGAAAATCGATCATCTCAATCTTTTTAATTAAATCATATAAATCTTATCAAATTTAACACTAAGATTACATTAATTTATTTCTGAAAGTAATAGTAACACTAACCATTAATGTTCATGTAAAATTACATATCCTTAATAGCGGTGAATGAAATAATCTTAAAATGCTTCTATAAACTTTGTTAGCTTTTATGATTAAAAAGTTTTTTAGTCTAATCTTTCATACAAAATTAACTTTATGCTAGCAAAATTTATCTATTAAACAAATCCATCCTACACCGATACCTCTAATAATTTGTCGCTTTTTCAATATCAAAATAACTGTACTGAAATGCTGCAACAATTATTTCAAAAAAAAATACAGCAAAAAAAAAAAAAAAGCACTTCTAAAAGATAAACCACAAACATACATCTGCATGCATATGCATGCACATGCATGCATGCAAAAGCATGTATATAAATGGTGAAATTAGTGAATGTACATCATCATCACATCAATGACAACGAAATGTGTTGGATGATTGTCTCTGTCTTATGTTTTCGACCATTCTTCATCGATCACACATCCATTGCATCCCTCTTTCCTCCCAAACATATGCATAATTATTGCGATTGTATGTTTTCTTGAAATGGTGTCACCAAAATAGAGCGAACGAGCAGTGTTCACTTTATTTCGATGACAAACAAAATATCTTCCAGTGAATGTGACCCTTCCTTCTATCATTTCTTCCCTCAAATTCATTCGCATATAATTCAATGCGATACGATGCGGTGCAATGCGACACTTTTGAATGACTGACTAAATGCGCATTCATATTTTATCCATATATATATATATATATATATATTCTTAGGAATTATCTATTTCATTCCTAATAATTATTCCTTAAATTGTTTACTTGTTTACTTTACTGTTTTGTTAAATATAATTGATAATAAATATTTGAATAATATTATCTCTCATATATTTTTGCTAGAAAATAAAATAGTTAACCAAAATAGAGATAGAATTGTTTCAATATAATTGACGTAGTAAAAATACTATTATTGTAACGTAATCGGTATATACTATGTACGTGAAACTAATGCTTCACGTTTTAAATGTCCTATTAGTTTCACGTGAACTGTATGACAGGTTACGTTAAATTACGTTAAATTTGAATGTATTGTATAGGAAATATTATTGTAATGAATAGAATGAATTATAGTTCATCGTAGCAATTGAAGAAAAAAGAGGAAATAAATGATTGATTATTTAACTGAACTGGTTGACATAAAAATGAGTGGTATTATCCCTTTTCCTGAATTTACTATAATATTTTGATGAACAAATATTATTTACCGTATTCTTTCCGGAAAAATGTATAGACACAAGGAAAAATAAATGATAAGAAGAGAATTAGGTGAAAAATTAGTAAGCTTTAGCGTAATTCCTGCGTTTTTCCTTTATTCATTCTTTTCAATTCGGTCATATTAATGCTTATTAACACGATCGTTACATTTTCCTATCCCAAAAAATGATTGAATTGATAAATTAAATTAATAACAAAAGACAAATAGTTTGATATCAGTATTGACAATAAGTGATTTAAATAAATAAAATTGCTGATTAAATGAATGAGATGCAGGACTAGGATATATGAGATTCATTTCAATCCTTCTTCTGGTCGGTTACCAATTTAAGTTGGTAAAATTGAAGAATGAAAATAGCCACCTGTTGAGAGGAAAATGAAAAATTTTAAAAAGATAGAATGCTATTTCTAAATGATTTAATGTGATAAAATAAGTGATAGCTATAAAAAACAAAATGAACGAAAGAAGTTTAAGTGCTGAAATGTTTCTTAAGAAAATGTAAGCTAGCAAATATGAGGAAAAGCTTCGCTTACATACGAAGTGTTAACCTTTCGATGGAATGATATCATCAGAAGATCAGAATGTTATCATTCCTTTCAAAGTAACAAGCCTTTTCATTTTCTATATCCTATCATCTTATCACATTACTTTCGATATAGCTGCTACTTCTTCAATCAAATCACATTTCAATTATCATAAAGTTAAAATTTTGTTCAATTTAAAAGAACATAAATTTAAAATATCAAACTTTACACAATTTAAGAATTTTAAAAAAACAGATAGATAGAAAGATAAGAGGAATGGTAAATCTTATTTAAAAGACTTCTGAGCAAAATGTATCAAAAGCAAATTGCAAAAAAGAAGTTCAAAAAGATTTTGACAAATAAAAATTTGCAAAGGAAAGAAAAAAAAAAATTCATTGAATGTCATTCAGAAAGTTACTTCTTCTACTTTACTTTGCAAGAATTACATATTTCCATAAAATTGTTCGCTCAATTTAAATTATACAAAAGTTACCGAAAAAAAAAAAAAGAAAATTGGCGGTCAGTTATTGAAATTTTCATTTATGAAATGATGCCAAATAATATTAACTTCAATTTACAATCAAAATTCTTTTTCCTTTTGGAATATCTTCTTAATGCGACATACATATTTATCTGCTCTGCCGATTATTATTTGAAAACTTTCTCAATAGATCAGCGAAAATTTTTGAATTTCCATGGGAAATAGTACAAAGTGATTTTTAAATGCCATTTAAAGTGAAAAATCCTTCACACAACTACAAACAACAACTTTTAAAATTACAAAATTTGGACAAGAATATACTGAAATATTATTGAAACAATTAATTATTCTACAACCAAAATTACATATTTTAATTAAATTGAAATTTTAAAATTTGTTCATTTTGTTTATCAAATCTATAACAGACATTAACAGTAGTAAATGATTCATTTGAAAGATAAAAAAAAAATTTAAATTAAAATTTAAACGTTTAATTTGAATATATTTTTCTCATTCAAAAAATAATATGTAAATTTATTTACACACACACATATGTATATTAGCAGAAACAATTAGAATGAATGGAAGGAATAAGACATTTGAAGAGTTAAACTGGGAAAAGGGTACCTACCACCATACCAACACCGCAACCGTTGTTAGCACCAACAGCGCCCATTTTATTCATCCATTTCTGCCCCCTTTCTTTCCCATTCCCATCCTTTTAATATTTGTTTGGTTTATCCGTTTCTACTCTGTAATCGTAGAAGTACCGAGCCCAACTGCTGGTAGTAACGTATCATTGTTCTCGAGATAAGAAATCTTGAATTGAATATTTTTCGGATAGATTGATCCGACAAAGATGGAACAATGAAATGATAGATCAATCATAAATGAAAATAAAAGAAACAATTTCACATAAACTTCTATTTTTTCTTTTTTTTTTTGTTTTGCTAGAAGACAAGAAATCAAATGTGTATAATACGTGAATCACATCATAAGCTTTTAATACTATAGAAAAAAAGAAAAAGGATTGAATGTTTGAAAAAAATGCAAAATGTATATTTTTTTTTTTTTTTGGATGTGTGATCGAGAATTTCAATTAAATTAGCTTATTGGATCAACGATAGAAAAATTAGTGACATAAATGAGGCTTCTTATTTTTTTTTTTCATAAAAGAAGGGATGAATGAAGGTGAAATGATATTAGCTTACATTTATTCATTGTCAATGAAAGAGAGAGAGAGAGAGAGAGAGAGAGAATATTCTATTTAAGAGAGAGAATATTCTATTTCAGATTGATTAAGTATTATAGGCCAGCTAAAGCAGCCAATTCAAAGTCATCATTAACTTTATAGACAGACACAATTTTCTTCACTTCCCTTCTTTTATTTCTATTCCATCATCAAAAATTTCAATCATATGAAAACTGGTATCAATATCAGTAATACATCTAACTAATACAAATCTTAGCTTTCATTTTAAAATATTTTAAAACTCATGGGAATAAAATTAACTATTATAATTAGTGTAAAATGAAAATGAATAATTATAATTTTTGAATGACTCTTTCTCATTTCAATATTTACATCATTTAGCTTAACCATCTTGCATAAATCTTTAATCTTTTATCTGTTTGAAAGAGCTTTTGTGGAAATAAAATGTATTATTCAATTTGTAATCACATCTCATTCTAAAACCTTTAAATTTCCTCATCAAAAAAAAAAAAAAAAAAATGGGTTGAAAAATCAAAAAAGCATTTATGAATGTTATGAAAAGAGGACAGAAACATGAATTTATCTTTATTTCGTTTAAAATTAAGCAAATACTTTTAAAATAAATTGAATAATTAGTTGAAATAATAATGCTCAAATTTTTCACACATATATTTGTTAAAGCTAAAAGAGCATTTTTCAAAATTATTTCAAGTTGGTTTAAAAAAAAAAAATTAAATTAAATTAAATCATTTGTCATAGTGTCATCTCCCTCCTCTCCTCCCCTGAATCTTTGTATTATTATTCATTAGTGTTCAACAATTTTTCTTCTTTTTTTTTTTTTCAAAAAATGCAACAAATTAAAACATAAAATCAGACGTAGACGATGTAATATTTAAAATTTACAAAAATTCACACTAATCAATCACTTGTTGACTTTCTTTTTTGCTATCGCCAGAAACGGACATATTTGTTTCTCTTTTTTTTTTTTTTCTCCCACCTCCTATTTTTCTCGAGAAAAAACCTTTTTTACATAAATGGATGGAAATTATAAAATAGCATTAGAGAAAATGACCTGGTCCTCCCTTCTTCTCAACAAATTTCACTATTTGTTTCAGTTATTGTAAAATACTTAAAACAGTTAATTATAAATTAAAAATGAATTTTAGCGTAAAAAGATGCATTCAATATTTCAAGTAGAAAGTGATATTATTGAAATTTTGAAGCAAATTTGCTACAAAATTCTTTTTTCTACAAAGAATATTTGTTTGTAATTTCATTTGCAAATGATTCATCATTGAATTAAATTGAAACATTTGGGGTGAATTTAAGCTAAGAGAAATGTTTAAAAGATGAAACAATCACTTTGATCTATTATCATTCATATGATTGATTAACAGAGGAGAAAAATTAAAGAAACTGAAAGCCACCTGTCGATGATATGATATGATATGATATGATATGAGTAGCAGAAGAATAAATCTAAAAGTGATCATTTATTGCAAAAATCAACTAAACATGTGTTCATTTTGAAATATTAGATAATTTCTCTTTTTTATTAGTTTATTTATTACAAGGTTTCTTATTTACTTATCAATTTACTTATATGAAATTTCTTATTTACTTATCAATTTACTTATTATGAAATTTCTTATTTACTTATCAATTCACTTATTATGAAATTTCTTATTTACTTATCAATTTACTTATTATGAAATTTCTTATTTACTTATCAATTTACTTATTATGAAATTTCTTATTTACTTATCAATTTACTTATTATGAAATTTCTTATTTACTTATCAATTTACTTATTATGAAATTTCTTATTTACTTATCAATTTACTTATTATGAAATTTCTTATTTACTTATC